TCTCAATATTGGCGATTATCGTCTGTAACTGACTTTTATTATCGACATCGCGATACTTGCAAGACATCGTCGATATACGATAATATCGTCATATCGCCCAGCCCTAGTCACAACACAGTTTTAGAAGACAGCGTCATTTTGCTGCCTACCTTTTGGGTCCATTTTTTGGCTTTCTTAGAGTATTGAAAGCTCACTTGTGATTTTTTTAAGTGGCCGTCTTACTAGGCAGCTTACTACACTGTAAATGGTTTAAGACTGTAAAAATGCTATGGTAAAAACCTGTTAGTTGGTTAATGGTAAGTTCCCTTACTATATACAGTGAAAAACTATAATAGATCTAACAGAACATTACATATGATTTTACAGTAAAATACTGTGGAATGTAAAAAAGAAAAAGGCATCTTGTATTTTGCAGTGAAATTCGTAAATTGACATTCCCAGAATTCCGTGTGACACTTCACATTTGATGGCATTTCATGTGAATAACTGTTTCTTTGTTAATTTCTGATACCATTGTTGCCTCAGCTTGTGGAAAGGCTACTTGTAATGAGCTTTGATTCCTCATGTGACTTGCTGTTTTACCACCCGTGTTATTATGGGGATTGTCAGTATATGTTAAAGTTACAAAACTCATTTTAGTAGTGTGCTTGGTCATGCTGATTCAGCAGAAAAGAGCTTGTTGGATTTACCAGATTAAAATGTTTTATTTATTTAATTAAATTAGCCTTTTTTAATTTTTTTTATTTTAACAAATTACAACAGTTTAAAATGGTAAAATTGACAGGTTGTTCTGTAAAGTTGTTTACATTTTTATTGTATTTTGTGTTTTTTTTTTTCTGTAAAAACAGCAGATTTAAGTGAAAGCATGTTTCTTACTCTGCATTGCAAAAATGGCCAAAAGGAGGCACTGCCATGTTATCCCATCAATATGACATTTCCTCTTCATATCACAGCCATATGTGGAGAGGTGTCTTATTAATTCCAATCTCCACTTCAAAGATCTTGTGCATAGGCTACGACCTAGAAGAAATTGTGTTTAGGGGGATAGGAAGGGCAAGGAATTAAATTAAAATCACAAGGAATGTTTCTGGTTCTTATTCCACTTAATGTTTCTAGTGTCCTAGTGATTCAGTTGGCATACTTAGCACTTTTAAATATTAAAACATGGTTCCAACAATATAATGAACAAAAATTCTGCATTACACCAATTGTTGTAAATCCAGTTACCATTTTTATTCAACTAAAATTTGTGATTGTTTATCGTAACTACAGATTATCATATTAACATCTAGTCAGAAAGTACATTGATTAAAGTCTCACAAGCCCCGGAGTTGAATTTCATAAAAAAAAAATGTTAGGATCAAAGTCAATGATTTAGGAACAGGATCTTAGACATGAATATGCAGATTGGACCCATGTGACACCCTTATGTCTATTATTTTAAGATGTGTAAATTGTTTTTGGGTGTTATGCTTCACTATTGAAGATGCTTTTGTGTTTTGTATTCAAGGACAGGCACTTTATTGATAGTTGAGCGTCTGTTATATCATGTCCAAACCTTGAGAGACATTACACAGGATCATTCAGGGCTCAACGTTAAGGATTCAGATTATTACTTGCCCTGTCAACATTTTCACTGGCCCTGACACAAAAAATACAATTGTTGCCTTTATCATTGTTTTTGATCTATGTTATTTATTTATTTGTTCTTTTATGAAACCAATATTTTAGATACCAATTACATTTTACAATATACAATTTCGATACAACAACAAAAACTACTAGCCTGACAAATATAAAGTCCAATCATTATTAAATACAAGTGAACAGTTAGTAAATAAGAACAAATGAACAAATTACAAACAATAGCACAACTGAATATATAGAACAAAGACACAAATGAAATAATGCTTTAGGATTTTATGTTTGTAGGTATTCAGGTACAGAAATTGAATAAATCACATAAAATAACATGTCCATATTCTTCACTGTGTTGCACCTTGATTTTTCATAGCCATTTGAAATTAGTGGTAACCACTGCATTTTAATCATGAATCGATAAAAAAAAAAAGATTATACACATGTGTAGCATGTGCAATGTTTGATTGAAATTAGACTGCATAATTTCAAAATTTGAAGCAAAAACAGAATGGTCTGACTTTAGCTTTGTGAAATTATGCTACATAAAACCTGCATGAAACAGAAACAGCAGATGGGCTGAATGAGACGCAGATTCACTCTCTAACAGCAGGTGGCGCTTATGCAACAGCAGTGGTTACTGTTGTAAACAAAGCAGAGCTGTGCGCATTAGCACTACTTTAAATACATTATACCGAGCCAAGATGCAAAGGAAACGCCATGTAAACTTTTCTGAAAACAGTCAGTTCCCCTCAGAAACACATCCATACAAAATTCAATATTTAGGATTTTCTTCTTATATTTCACAGTGATCTTGCGCTGCCTGCTACAGTATTTTCTCCTCTTTGCATTCATCTTCAGCGTCGCGGGCCTCTGTTAACGGCCGTTTACAGGCTAAATATAATATTAACGTAAAATTTCCACACAAATGACATTTTGAAAAAAAATATTGCGATGAAGTTTGTGTGCAAGCACGGAACAGAGATAGTCTGAAATAAAACAAAAAAAATGCCCGGTTGATCGGTGCATCTCTACTCCACTGTATAAATTAAATATAGATTAATCATTGTTAAAGCTACAAAGTTACTCACCAAGACGGGTATTTTGACATACTTTTGTATGTATTTGTCCATTCAAATGCTAGAAAGACGTGGAAAGAAACTTAACTCGGGTTTCTGGCATCAGAGACGTTGCTGTCTGTGCGCGCGCTGTACACACAGAACAGCGCGCGAGTACTGAATGAAGTTGTCTTTCGCACCTTGCAGGAATGCTGTTAAGTTGCTTGATTTTTTTAATTAGCAAGGCTTAAAAACAGATCCAAATGATAAATTTTTTTTGTGACAACGCAGCAGTGGCCCGATCGTGCCAGTGACAAATCCGTCAACTGTCCCGAGCGTCTTTCACGCTAGCCCCGGGCCATCGGGCAGTCCTTACTGTCTAGCCCTGTCATTTGTTATTTCTCTTGAATGTCCTATGGACAAAGCAGAAATTCCTGATTTAGAAGATGACCTTGAAAGATGAACCTGGTTTCTTGTAATGATAGCCCAACACAGTGTCTTATAACAAGAAGAAAGCACTTTTAGGAACGAACAGTTTCCACAAAGAAACTTCCCAAAGATTCCTTCATTAAAATATCTCCGTTTATGTTACAGCTCTAATGAGGTCACTGAGGATTGCTACACAGCAAGATCTGTATCTTAACAACATTTAGATAAAAGAGGCATAGTCAAACTAACTTACATCCTCATATGATCTGAATGTTCTACATGTTGGTGCTCTCATAAAACCCCATTAGGTGAAACAGCAACACCAGATTAAAAGTCTGTTGATATTAACAAGTACATTCACTCCCAGGTTTATTTTCTATAGTGCTAGTGTTGCTATAGTGATAGATTATTTTCCACTCTCACTGAATTCAGATATGGCTCATCTGTTGCATGATGGTGGTTTTATACTGCAGGGCTCTACGCTTACTTTTATTTTTATTTAAAAAATTTAGGAGCACGTTCAAAATGTTAGGAGCACCTTCTAATCAATAATCCATAATTGTATAAAAAAATTTGCCTTCCCATTACGAGGTGATATTTGACTCCTTAAAGTGATTTACAGTGGAATTTAGTTTTTTACCTTTGTAATGGAATTTTTCTAACTTTATTAAATGTCGTCATGTGTCAAATTCTTTAAAAATGATATTTTATAAGCTTTTTAAAAATTATAATTAAAACGACAGAATAAGAACAAGTAGAATAAGAAACATAAGCGCTGTGTCTGTGTTTTAAACTATTTTCGATGACGAAATAGAGCAAAATCAGACAATAGTGTTATAGTCAGACAATGTAAGTCAGTTAATATTAACTTCTTGTTTATTGAACTGTTGTATTAAATCAGTATCACATTTACAAACTCCCTTAAAAATCATTAAAAGTTGTCACTCATCTTAGTTCATCGCGATCTCACATTTATAATCAACGAAGCTCTCTACACTGCGCAATCAATCTCTTATTTACACCCTGTCTACACTTTGCTTATGAAAGGATTCGTGAGATATGTCTGTGATACATTACAGAACACTGCAAAAACACGTAGAAACCTTTGAAGCTCCCCTGAGCACAATCACAAGTATGATGATGATCGGGTCAGTCGCACTGGTGCTCCTAAAACATTTTTTTCAGTCGCACGCAGTAGTTTTCAGTCACACGCAGTAGTTTTCAGTCGCAAATGCGACTGAAATGGGCGCACTGTAGAGCCCTGTACTGAATAAGCCAAATTATCTTTTTTTTTTTTTTTTGTGCTGGAATAAGTATTACTTGATTCAGTGTGCTTGCAGGGTAAGAAAATAGAGTGTGATGGACAAGTAAAAAAAATAATAATCTT